TTTTAGAGTTGCGTGCACCTGTTGAGAGGAGCAAGAACGAAAAAGAAGCGGATGAAGAAAAAATACGGGGAACAGGATGACGACGATGAGGAAAGGCAATTGCACATGAAAATAATTGGGGCAAGAAAGGTTAGCGAAAAAGGGGAAAAACATATATGCATACAGTTGCTTGTGTGTAAAGTGTGTATTCCTCTTCTGCATTGTGATGTTACCACGTCGCTTCGCACATCAGTCGTTTTTCCTCGCGACTTTTCATGAAAATTTCTGGAAACCCCATTTTGCAGATGAAGCACGAGACGGAGAAGGAAAAAGTAGAGAAGCTGCAGAGTAAGACGGCGGAGCAAGAGAACAAATATAAAAGCCCCAAAGAAGTCACAATGAATTTTGAGGAAATAAATGAGGAAGAAATGAAGGTACAAGAAGAAAAAAAAATTACACTTCGCATTAACACAAGGAAAAAATACATACTTATGTACATATATATATATGAGCATATTGTGTACACATTTAGTGAATCCCTTTGAGGGGAACACACGGGGAACCCCGATGGACGCACTTCTGCGCCACGAATTACACGCCAGGCGAACATTTACTTTTCCCCTCCTTCGTAGGACAAAATGAGCGAATTAAAGAAGTTGGTGTGCACACCCAAGGAAGGAGATAACCTGATATTTGCAATTCCGATGTGTGCGCCTTATTCAGCCATTCATGTAAGAATTCATCAACCGTTTAGCAGAAAGTGAAAGTGGTTTCCAAAGTATGGGGCATAATCACATCGTTCTCATTTTTTTCCTGTTGTTCCTCCTTCGTACCTTTTCTAGAATCAAAAGTATAAGGTGAAACTGGTCCCCGGAAATGCCAAAAAAGGGAAGGTTGCCCAATCTTGCATTTCATACTTCCTGAAAATGTCAACCGAAGAAAAGGAAAAGGAGCTCATCAAAAATATATCGGTATGGCGACCCTAAATTCTGTCCACGCAACTTTTTACTTTACTACGATGAGAGGGGAGACCTTATTTGACCTGTCGCATCAACAGAGGGGGCCTAATAAACGTTGCGTAGTTGTCTTTTTTCTATGAGAAATTGCCTGCTTCTGTAGATACATTTTTATTCGTAATATTTTCCAAATGATCGACATGGTACATTTGGATGTGTAACAAATCAGTGCCTCCTGTTCAACAAACAAACTTTGCCATAAGCTTATGGATCTCTGAGAAATGAGCCTAAATGGACACACACATGAGCTCCTCTCTTTTTGTTTTTTTTATTTGCAGGTGGACGAACTGGGAAACTGCATTATAACAAATTCGACCCCCGATTTGAAGGAGTTAAAACCGGCTACGAAGCACAAATTTGTGCAAAAGGGGAAGGGAAAGAAGGCGAAATGAAGAGTTTGCACTGTTCCCCGGGGGTTGCTTGCCCCGTTGGCGGCAATTTCGACCCAACGGGATTGAATTAGTCGTTCGTGTAACTATCCATCTGTTTACTTAATTATATATCCAATTATTTTATTTTTTTGTCGCGTTGACACGTTGACGTGTTGCCGCTTTGCCCAATTCTGTAGGCTTTTGCAAAATATCGCCCAGTATTGCGTGCCCCTGTACACCCTTTCGTGTAAGTGTTCTTTTTTAAAATGTAAAATGTCTTCCACGCCGGATGATAAGCCTCGTTTTGCTTGTTCACCATCAGACACACCTTTTCTTATCCCTGGAAAAACTGATAGTGCAAAAGTGTGTACCTTTAACTGCAACCGTGTGGGTTTGCCGTGTATGTATATATATGTGCTTACGTATATGTACACTTATACGCGCGCCCTTAAATGTGTTTGCGCTTCGAACGAGTTGAATTACAAAAAGTAGTAACGTCCTAAATTCCGTTGTGGTGGATGTACGCCTGGGCGGTGAATATAAAGTTGGGGGGGTATTTGAGTCCTTTAAGTGCGATCATAAGGGCATATAACTAGGCCAAGAAAATATACATATGTGTATATAAATTTATCTGTGTCTGCACCTATTAGAAGTACCTTGATGTGTTATCATTTTGCAACTCATTCGTTTGGCGAACGATAAGGCGCTGTTCGGTAAGGCACACACATTCATTTGCGTGGTGTAACTTTCTACAATTTGTTCAAGACAAGTTGTTCACACTGTGAATGGAGAGAAAACAAGCCAAACGTGCAACCTCCTTTTTAATTTCTTTTAAAGCGGCAAAAATGTGATTTTTCGGGCGAAGGGGCACGAGGAAACAGACAACGTAGCCGCAGATGGATGTTTTTATTGATTTTTTTTTTCCCTTCGAAAGATGAATTAAGACGGATAAGTAGAACTCGGAAGGTAATCTAATGTGTTGTACGATTTTGCATAATCGCTGTATCAAAAGCTGCCCAACCATTTTGTGCAATTCTTTTCTTGGCTTCTTTTGTTGCAATTTTGGGAAAATATAGAACGCGCCCCTTCTTTAACGTCCACTTGTAGGCGTTTTAACGAAAAAGCAAAAATTTGCCTCCCCTAGGAAAAAAGAAAAAATTCCTTTTTCATATATAAAGCGTTACATGGTTAGCTCGGGAGAGTGTGTTTAGCCGTTTTTCTTTCCTTGAAGTGCGCCTTGTGCGTATGTTGATTTTTTGCATGTTAGAATAGTGAATTACGCGATGCGCACATTGGTGAAATGGCAGTGATATTTGCGCACTGCTCATGTGAATGTATAAAGAGGCACTGAATATATGAATGCGCATAGCCATGCTGCATATGCGCACACACATGAACGCACTATACATATGTGCGTAAGGAAAAGAACACGTGCTAAAGTGCAACGGCCATGAGGAGATATCCCTGCAGGTGCACACGTATGCGCCCATCTAAATGCAGATGGGGGGTTACCCGCAACATAGCTGCGCGCACATGTGCCCAACTTCGTAATGTACATTAGTACACATATGAGGAAATACCACCTTTAATGCGCACGTGATATCTACTACCTGCTAGATGCATTTGTCATATAGATTTGTGACCTACATGTAAGCAGCCACACCGACACGAGTGCACTTACGACATGTGCGTATGGCGTATGTAACAGTTGTGCACAGGTTGTATCTGCATACGTGGTGGGTGCGTTAACAGGAAATTCACACATGTAGAGATCTCCACATTGTTGCAATATCACATGAACCATATATGTATGCATCTATATGTCATATATATATACATACGTTTATGTATTTTGTTTTTACGAGAAACGGCTTAACACGTGAGCAGTGCGACTACGCACGAGACGCCCATCCCGCGCAAGACGTCACATAACCGTAG